CTGTACCTCTACACTAGATGGTTGTACCTCTACACTAGATAGTTGTACCTCTTCACTAGATGGTTGTACCTCTTCACTGGGTGGTTGTATCTCTTCACTAGATGGCTGTAGCTCTTCACTAGATGGTTGTATCTCTTCACTAGATGGTTGTACCACTTCACTAGATGGTTGTATCTCACTTCACTAGATGACTGTACCTCTTCACTGGATGATTGTACCTCTTCACTAGATGGTTGTATCTCTTCACTAGATGGTTGTACCTCTTCACTGGATGGTTGTACCACTTCACTAGATGGTTGTACCACTTCACTAGATGGTTGTACAACTTCACTAGATGGTTGTACCACTTCACTAGATGACTGTACCTCTTCACTAGATGACTGTACCTCTTCACTGGATGGTTGTATCACTTCACTAGATGGTAGTACCTCTTCACTAGATGGTTGTACCACTTCACTAGATGGTTGTACCACTTCACTTGATGATTGTACCTCTACACTAGATGGTTGTACCTCTTCACTAGATGGTTGTACCACTTCACTAGATGGTTGTACCACTTCACTAGATGGTTGTACCCCTTCACTAGATGACTGTAACTCTTCACTGGATGGTTGTAGCTCTTCAGTAGATGGTTGTACCTCTTCACTAGATGATTGTACCTCTACACTAGATGGTTGTACCTCTACACTAGATGGTTGTACAACTTCACTAGATGGTTGTACCACTTCACTAGATGGTTGTATCCCTACACTAGATGGTTGTATCTCTTCACTAGATGGTTGTACCCCTTCACTAGATGGTTGTACCTCTACACTAGATGGTTGTACAACTTCACTAGATGGTTGTACCACTTCACTAGATGGTTGTATCCCTACACTAGATGGTTGTATCTCTTCACTAGATGGTTGTACCTCTTCACTAGATGGTTGTATCTCTTCACTAGATGGTTGTACCTCTTCACTAGATGGTTGTACCTCTTCACTAGATGGCTGTACCACTTCACTAGATGGTTGTATCTCTTCACTGGATGACTGTACCTCTTCACTGGATGATTGTATCCCTACACTAGATGGTTGTACCTCTACACTAGATGGTTGTACCTCTTCACTAGATGGTTGTACAACTTCACTAGATGGTTGTACCTCTTCACTAGATGGCTGTACCTCTACATTAGTTGTTTGTATCCCTGATGTATATTCTGATGTAGA